CGCCCCATCTTAGCACCCTGCGATTTCCCCGCCCCATATTAGCACCCTGCGATTTTCCTGCGATTTTTCTTCTCTTGTAGTGAGCATATTGGGATCGCTTGCGAAATAGATGGAAAAAGACTCTTACGTGAATACCACGGAGGAGCCTCGACCCATATCGATGAGGACACTATAGGTGATGGGACCACTCCCCTTTTTTACGTTCCTTCAACAACACCGTAATACTATGATTTCAAGACCCGGATGTGAGGAGTCATCTAACGCCTGCTGCTCAACGGACATGGGCTCCACACTCGTTCCATCCTGGCTGAAACCCAGGATCCTCTGTCTTCACCAAATGCTTTGCCCAAGATGCTCTACCCTCCCCGGCCAGTCTTCTGGATCAATCCCCGCATTGCACCCGGCAAATAAATATATAGATGTCTGGGCGGCGATTGGCGCTGCCGAAGAGCAAGGCCCGTCCTCCTTGGGCGGAGAGCGATTGGCTCAAGACCTGGTCGGTTCCCACTGTATTGTCCGATCCTCCCAGCAGGAAGATGGCTGAGGCCTCTGCGACAAGGTTGGACTCTGAAACGAGGATGACGGGGTCTGAGGGGGGCGAAGCACCGAGATCGGAAGTTGTCGTGCTCAGGCCTTATACGGCACAGCTCACCCAGTACCGCCCGACTGCGTGGGCGGACTCTGCGCAAGTTGTGGCCAACCAGCCGATCTACCCGCAGCACGGACCTCACGCTTCCACCGCCCTCAGTGCAACCGCCCTCGATGCAACCGGCCTCCGTTCCACAGCAGGGAGGTTCGTCGCTGGATTGGACCAAGCCGGCTACCCGCTGCTCCAGGATCGCTACTACAAACCAGAGCCGCAGTCGTTGCCCGATGGTCGGTGTTTCTCGCCAGCTGATCACTTGGACTTCCGGTCGTCCGACTTCGGGCCACGGAATTTCGGGTCGCAGAATTTCTCCCCCGATCACGGTGGCGGACCTGGCCCTTACCACTCGGACTCATATCAGCCGCGGTATGCCTATCCTCTGCACCATTCCGGCTTCTACACGGGTCCGTACTACCAATACTCCAGCACACAGATGTCCATGGCGGCCCTCACCGAGGGATTCGGCCAACCACCCGGTTTCCTTACGCCACCACCATCTACCGGACTAACAGTTCTGAGACCGTCGGAGACGCAAAGACCAGGTGCTGTGCCACCGCCTCCGCCGACCACCCCTCATGCTCCTGAGACCGCTACGGAGACTTCCTTCGGCGGGTCAAAATATACACGCGGCCGAGTTCAGGCGAATGCTAGGATGCGAAGCGGTTGGAACCAAGGCGGTTGGAGTCAAAGCGGTTGCTGTCAAAACGGTGGGGCCCAAACTATTTGTGGTCAAGCCGGTTGCGGTCAAGCCGGTTGCGGTCAAGCCGGTTGCGGTCAATCCGGCTGGGACCAAAGGGATTGCGGTCAAAGCAGTAAGACCCCTAATAATAGAAGTCCAGGTGGCAAGGGCCAAAATGGCAAGGGCCAAAATGGCAAGGGCCAAAATGGCAAGGGCCAAAATGGCAAGGGCCAAGGTGGCAAAAGCCAAGGTGGCAAAAGCCAAAATGGCAAAAGCCAAAATGGCAAGGGTCAAAATAGCCGATGCCGCCAAGGGGGCAAGAGTAGTACAAAGGGTGCGCGAAATGACTTGGGTGAAACTTCTCGTTCCGGAAAGATGAAGAAAACTCTGACTCCTGCACGACGGGAGAGCTCTTGTAGCTCAACCTCGTCTATCATCGGTCAGACAGTTTTTGACTCCAAGCGTGAGTACGAACTGCCGGATGGCTTGACCAACTCCGGTAACCATAAGTCTCAGTCTCGTGACCACCAGCCTCATGATCCCGGGTCTGGTGACTTGGTCATCACTCTCTCAGATCCTGAGCCCGATGACGTCAGCACTGACAGCAGCGGAGACGCGCTCTCGTTCTTGCAGCCGAAGCCGCCGACCTGGCTCGAGCGGCAGATGCGGAAGCAGCACGATGAGCTCTCCGTGGATGACTTGTCGGAGTTTACACCCGAGGAAGGCGACTGCAGACCTGCGTCCGACGGACCTCCTGGGTCCAGCGAGTTCGGGAAACGATCCAGTCTAAGCGATACACGGTCCGGGAACCGGTTTAAAGCTCCGAGGATGGCCCCGGATATGCCGGCCGGCAAGAAGCTAGCGGGAAAGACTCTGGCGGGCGGGAATACGACTCTGACGGGCGGTAAGACGCCTCCCGCGGGGAAGACGCTGACGGCAGGCAAGACGGCTATGTCGTTGGGTCAGACGATGGTGCACCAGACGTCCAGAGAGCGAGCTTCCAAGAAGAAGTTCCTGGAGACGCACTTGCGATCAAAAGCGGCGCCAGTGTCACAAACCAGGCGTCCGCGGTCGAGCAGACTGCGCCAACTGACTTCGAGAGGTTCCGACACGGAGACTTCCTCTTCCACCTCTGGCAACGATTCAGCCCTGTTGTCCGCCGAGGGCTTGTCCGCCGAGGGCTTGTCCGCCAACGACTTGTCCCTGGAAGACTTCCCAAAGGAACAAGCAGCTGCACCGCGGGAAGAACTCCCCCCGTTCCAGAAGGAGACCGTCACCACCCCTCGTAGCCGCTTGTTGGACGTGGAGGATGTCGTGCACCTGTGGAGCACTTCCTCCAACATCAGCGACAGCGATCTGGACGCGCCTGATCACACGCACTTGAGCCACGTCTCAGGCAAGAATCATGTCTCGGACATGAGGCGTCCCTCGGAAACGATTATACTAGACGACGTCCCCATCGGTGGCCTCTGTTTTCACGCTGAAGGTGAGCGCATGCGCAAACGACCTGCCGACTTAAAATCCCAGCCATTGGCGAAGAAACCGAGACGAAAGCGGATTACCTTCGCCAACTTCGAACTCAGAAGCACCAAAAGGAGGCTCCAGCTAGCATCGCAGCAAGCTATTAGCATCGAGACCGCACGGCCAGAGCCTGCACGGCCACAGCCTGCACGGCCAGCGCCTGCACGGCCAGCGCCTGCACGGCCAGAGCCTGCACGGCCAGAGCCTGCACGCCCAGTGCCTGCACGGCCAGAGCCTGCACGGCCAGAGCCTGCACGGCCAGAGCCTGCACGGCCAGAGCCTGCACGGCCAGCGCCTGCACTGCCTGAATCAGCGCTACCCGAGCCAGCCACGTCTGTGAAGTCTGCCGGGAAGAAGCCGAAAACGAAAACTGTGAAGGAGAAAAAGACCAAGAAACGGAAGTCGGGCGAAGGCAAGGATCGCGGTTCAGCTTCGGTAGAGGAACACGCTACCGCCAACAGCACTACCGCTCACAACGTTAATGCTAAAATCGGAGATCCGATCGAGGACGCTCCAAAGGATGCCACCGCCGAGAAGGTTACGATGCGTGCGGTGGTCGAGGACGTGGAGGACGCTCCCAAGAGTGCTCAGCACGGAGGCCAAAATCCGAGCAAGAAGCAGTTGAAACAACAAAAACGGAAAGAGAAGAACAAGAGACGTAAGGAGGAACGGATTTGGAGAACCGTGTATGAGGCTACCAGTTCCTTCGCGCCTCCCGTGGCCGTCGACGAGCTCGTCGGCTGCCGTAGTCACGATACGGCCAACAAGCTCGTCGGAGCCTCCTCCTACCCGACAGTCGACGTGGACACTCTGATTGGCCTTCATGGCTTCTTCGGTAACGACAGCAAGCCGAAGCTGCCCACCCGTCTACGCTTCAGCGGCCGCTTCTTCATCCGTAAAGAATTCCTGCCAAAGTCCAAATGGCCGGAGTTCCTCGCCGACCTCCAAACAGCACTCAAGGAAGTCAAAAAACACTCCCGAGCGCAACAGACCCTCTTCGGCCTCAACCTGCTGTACGGCCTCAAGCTTAAGTCACTCGACAGCGGAACCCCCGCCACAGCCAAGATACTCTCGCGCGTCGCCGCCCTCATCGGGCAACTGGTCACCACAGTCGAACAGCAGACCGGACGCTCTGCCTCACAAATTGCAGCCGAGGTGTCCGCCAAAGGATTCAACTGGCGCCCGGCTTCCTGATCCGGCTTCCTTGCCCATGCGGCTGGCTGGCTTCCTTAGCCTCGCTCGCAACCGGGCTGACAGGTTCCGCTCGCAACCGGGCTGAGAAGCTCACAGCGGAGCGAAATATCGTTACAGCAGACTTCTGAAAAAGGAATTGTTGGCGAAGAACTTTGCAATCATCCGTGTGACCCATTTCGCCGACTCGAGGCCGTTCTTAAGCGCCCTGATATCCGAGCAGTCTTGACTAAGGCTCTCGATCAGCGCCAATTCACCTTCAAATTGTTTCACCAACTTAGGCGCGCACGTATCAATAAGGAAGAGACACTCCAAATCCCGTTTCTGACTCCGCAGCCCGAAGTTGGTCGAACCGGCGATGGTCAGCACACGATCACCGCATGCCGCTGACTGGCCGTGCAGTTGATTCCGAGCCACATGCCAAATGCCCTTGGCGTGGAACGTAGACTGTGCTTGCGATAGAAAGGCGCTGTAGCGCACCCGAATCACGCGTGTCAAAGCCTCCAACGCCCGCACGGTCAGCCGCAAGTACGCGAAAGGGATGGCACTCAGCACAGGGCCGCCATCGAAAAAACTCGAAGCGTTCGGAGAGGGCCCTACAATGCGGAGCTCACGGTCGCCAAGTTCAGTGCGCAGCAACCCAATGGTCTCCGGAGACAAATTGCAGTACGGTGTAGCTAAGACCAATGTCGTGTCCTCCGTACGCACCTGCGCCGGGCCCCGCAACGCCTTTACAATGAACTCGGGCTCCGTCCAACTGAGCTTGCTCCCTTCCGGCGCGTATCCACAATGGATGCCAAGCGAGAGCCGAACTATGTCTTGCAGGTGCTTTGCATCCAGGCTCTCACAGTCTTCTCCAAAATCACACACTGTCGGCAGAAACCTCTCAATCTCCAACAGACACTCGTTCAAGTGCTTGCGCGGCTGCAACAGGTACACGGCCCGCGACGTACCCGACAGATACACCACTGCCGGACCGCCTGTGGCCCGCGAGCCAAACAGCAACCGATGGCAACAGCCGTGCCATAGCTGGCCGATGTGCGCCAGCGCGTCGCACAAAGACTTGTTCTTGCGCACCAAGATCCATCGGTCATGGCGGTTCGTCAAATACGAAGTCGCAATATTGGCGCCGGTCACAATGACATCATCGTCAAAGATATAGTATTTCCAGTGCAGGACACCGAGCGTCTCCTGCATCCGATAAGGGAACCACCGCTGCCATCTGTACGGCACCGGCGTCTGATACAGGTAGCAGTCCCAGCCGTCCTCGCCACCTACCGCCAGCATCGTCTCCACCGAACTGGACACTCGGCCTGCGGGACCCTTGTCCGGGCGAACCGTCCTGCAGTAATCAGTCATCGTCCACACCTCCAAGCCTTCCCGCTTCTTACGACCAATTTGTTCCAAGATCTGCTCCTGTTCCGCGCCAATGTATAAGGAGGTCATGATCACGCGGCGCTGTGCTGCGGCCAACTTGTTCACCAGCACTTCGCGGAACTCCGTGGCACTGCTCAGCACATTCACGTTCTCCGCAGTGACTTCGAACCGCGCGGCGGGCGCTCCAAACGGCATATTTTTTATTAAAGCACACACGTGCGATGAACAAAAGAAATCGCCACCAGTCCGAGCTCTCAGACGCCTACAACGCACTCATTAAAGACCAGTACGACCCATTCAGCGCCCGCACAAGACGGTCACCGTAGCAAACCCAACTTGGCAAGACATGTCGCTCGCTCCAAAAAGCATGCAGCCGTGTGCGAGAAGCTCGAGAGCAAATGTCAGTCTCTCATCGCTGATATCACCAAACACAAACAGGAAGTGCTAGAAGTCATTTCCGAACACAAAAGCCGGGAAGCGCGTATCCTAGCGCAGTACCACACAGAGAGGCGGGCACTCGTCGACAGCATCGATCAGAAAAGACAGGCTTGTGACAAGAAAGTTCTCGCTGCCATCGCCGAACTCCGACAAAACCTTCAGGGCAAAGAAAAACACCTCAAAAAGATCCACGAAGCTCTCGCAGCATAAAGTCTACCACAGCTTGCCCTTCTGAGCAAATGCCAAGTCTGGCCCGCCGGAGTGGTGACGACCGTGACGACCGCTGTCGACTCTGTAGGTGTGCTCCGCAGTAGATCGCGCACTAGCAGGCAGCCTTTGCACTTGGGGTAACTGACCCAGGTTCAGCGAGCCCCGGGTGGCACTGCGGGCCGTATTCCGATGCGGCAGGCTGGCTCCTAGGACGCCCACTTCGTGGGGCTCCGGCTTCTCCTCATCGTCAATATTATCCGCGGTCTTTTGCACCAATCCAGAAACATCGTTCCGGCGTTTCTGTTCCTCATTTATCTGCTTTATATGATGTGGGGCTACCACTTCTTCTTCTGTGTCTGGGACGAAGCCCAGCTGGGTTGTCACCTCCTCGTCACTTGGCTTATCCATGTCGGGCGGTACCAAAACACCGTCTATGACATATGCCACACCCATCGGCGTCTCAACCATGGGCTTTACCAGGTGCACGTTGTCATTTATCACAATTCCCTTGTCATCAGAAACAGTGACATTCAGACGGGAGCCTTCTATGGTCTCGTAAGAATAAGCGCCTTTCCCTAGCTCTCCGAGCTTCACCACCTGTCCCAAATTATGGTAATTTAACACCTGGACGAGATCCGAGTAAGGTAACTGCGAAATAGAATAATACGTCGTCAAAGAACCCTATACCTTTGTAAGCTTTGTCTTGGCCAATGCCGCGTTGGTTGGCATGAAAACCGTGGCGTCTCTTGACTGATCCAGCTTGAATTTCATTTCTGTCTTAACATATATGTCTCTTAAGGTAGACAGCATCTAAGGGCAGCGTCCTCATCCAGCGAAATAGTCTCACAGGGTCGTTCTTCGTGATCTCGAAGGGGCTGGGCAGTTCATTCATGCCCAGGCCGGGCTGGCCATAGGCAAGAGCCAGAACTAGGCAGAAGTATTTCATTTCGCGCGCGTGTTTGCAAAGACGCGCGTCGTGCGCGCAAAGTGGGCGCGCGTAAGATTTACAGGACAAAGGGCGCTTCAGACTTTCTCCCGTGGTTTATACATCTCTAGTGGCGTGAGAGCCCGTTTCTAGTAGTGATTGTCTGGCGTTATTGCCGGACCGTCGCCATTGGTCTTATCTCGTCGTGGTCGAGTGTATGGTGGTCTGTGGGGTGTTAGTGGTGAATTCCTGGCGATAAAAGCGTGCGGTCGTTTCGGTTGTAGTTTGCGCACGTGTTTGCAATCGCGTGTTTAAGCGGGTTGGCTTCATTGTTCGGAGTTTGCTGTTCTGTGTGCCCCGTCCCGCGTGTTTCGCCCAGAGTGCCGACCTAGCGTGCTGTCTATTATTTGGCGGGAATTTATTTTTAATTTGGAAAGGGCAAATGTCAGACAACGAGGGGACGACGACAGCAGCTGCCCCGCAATCGGCGGCGACGGCAGTGGCATCTGGTGTGGTTTCTCCTGGTGTGGTTTCAGCGGCGCCGGTGACGGCGGCGGCCGCGGGTTCTGCCTCGTCGGCAAGTTGGGGAGCGGTCATCAAGATGCGGGGGTTACCCTGGGAGACAACGGTAGAGGATGTGGTTCGGTTTCTGTCGCCTGTGCACTTGGTGTCAGAGCAAGACATATATCTGGTGATGGGTGGCAACGGGCGTTGTAATGGTGAGGCGTACGTGGACGTGGTGAGCACAGAGGAACAGGATAAGGTCATAGCAGAGTTGGACGGGAAGTTAATGGGAAGACGGTGGATTGAACTCTTTAAAAGCTGCAAGTCCGAAATGGACGCAGCCAAGGCGCGTGGTCCGGCGCCTGTGCCTGCGGCTGCTGCTGCTGTCGTGGGCACGGACTCCGGTCGTGGGGTCGTGGGCGGAGTCCTGCGCCTGCGCGGTCTGCCTTGGGGCGCAACCGACTTCGAGATCATCCAGTTCTTTTCGGGTAGGTCGTTACAGTCATCGCTCACGGGTTCCTCTTTCGTAGATGGCGGGTTTTCCATTGACTCTTCGCAGATCGCCATGCCGCTCGTCCGGGGACGTGCTTCCGGTGAGGCCTATGTCGACTTTGGCTCTTCCGCGCGCGCTGAGGAGGCCAAGCGCGTCATGAACCGCCGCTGTATCGGCACGCGCTACATCGAGCTCTTCAGTGCTACACCGCGTGACTTCGCTGACGCACTCCGGGCTATGGAGAACGGCGGCAATCCACCTGGCGCAGCCGGCCCCATTCGCAGCTACCGCCAGTACGAAACTCCCGGTGCTGGACCGTACATGGGTGCAGGTCTAGGGGGCCCTGCTATGACAGCTGCCGGTCCGGTCACGCTCAATACACCTGTTCCCCTCTATTCCGCAACACCCTACCGAACCAGGCCACCTGAGGGTGCGTGGGGAGCCGCAGTCGTCGGTGCCAACTACGACTCCGAATATCGCTACGGGCAGGCCACCGCTGTGCAATGCGACCCCAACGCTGTCGCCGGACCCACCGGCAACTTCACCGTCCTCCGGCTGCGGGGTCTCCCCTTCAGCGCCACTGC